GAAGTATCTTGTCAGTGACAGTTTATACATCAGATTAGAGAAGCAAGTTTGCCAGCAAATTTGAAGCAACTTTTACCTGGGTTTCATGATCTGCCAACAAGCTAGCTGATTTCTTAGCCTGTGATGATGTGAAGGAACCAACTGAGAAGCACTGGTATGGGAGCGATACCCTTTGAGTTTAGAAAGAGGCTTTGTATTAGGGTGCAACTACATAGAAGTTTTTGGTGGCAGCATTGAGCTGGCTCAATATTGCTTGTACATCCTCATTGTACATATTTTATCATTAATCAAAATCAATGTTTGTAATCATAAAAACACATGATCTCACTACTTCAGCCCATGCCCTTTTGGTCTGCCCCTAGCATTTCTAACCCCTTCAACTTGTAACAGATCATTTCTTACTAGTGCTGTAGATGACCTTCTCTGCATGTGCCCAGATCATTTTGATCTACTTTCCATCATATCATTACTTTTTGAAGCTACTCCTATCCTTTCTGGTTCTCTCACTTATCCATCTTAACATTTGTATTTTTACCACATTCTATTTTTGGACATGTTGTTTCTTGATTTCTCAATACCTACTGTGGTTTAGCAAGTTATTTCCACTTTTTTTTGCAAAGTGAATTGGATCAGAATATATGAGCTAGACTATGCCATACAAACCAAAGTACCAAACCTCGTTGTACCATATCCTGCGTGAGCACCAAAACACTGTGTCTGGGGGAGAAACAATATCCAATAGTTGGTTGTCAAGGTGTTTCTGAGGCAACTAGGCATCCTTTGTTGGGCACTTCTCCTGAATGCTTTGACTTTTAGCAACAAGGTGCTTATTTAGGCATTAAGGTGCTTGCCTAGGCAACAAAAGTCACAAGGCAGATGTTTCATTGTCTTATATAATGTTATAATTATGGCTACATCTTACTAAAAATATGAGTGTCAGTACATTTTATTATATGTTCTATGTATCATTAATACTTTGTTTTAAAGTTTTACTATTGAAATTTAAAAGATTGTAGGGTTTTAAGAGAAAAGTAAAATGTTTCTTTTTGTTTTGTTTTTTCTATTTCTCCCCCTCTCTTCTCTTACATTAAATAAAATAGCAGTTCTACCCTTGTTCTTTTTCCTTTTTTTTTACTTTCTATCTTAAATTTTTATCATATAAAATTGTAGCCTTTTAGCTGCTAATTTGATATAAAATTGCTTTACTAAATACTTATTATATTAGTATTTTTTTTTTGAAAACATTGAAATTAATATATTTAAATTTTAGATATGATGATTTTTTGATCAGCAATTTTAGATATGATGATTTTCCATGTTTTAAGAGGAATTTTAATGTTTTTGAAAAAAGAGGGTTGTTATTTTTTCAATTCATATGCATGTTGATTGGTATATGAAACTAGAGAATTAACCAAAATTTAGTTTCTTATTTTATAAATGTCTTATCACCAAGATGTTGCGTAGGTACCTGCCTAGGCAGTTGGGTGCTCTGCTATTGCCTTTTTCACCTAGACACCTTGAGAACTGTGCAACATCCTGCTGCAATGCTTAGGAACTTCACTTAGTCATTTCCTTGTCTCGAACCCAATACCCCCCCTTTTTTGATGAATCCTAATACCCCTTGACTTTAGTTTCTTTGAGATTTTTTGGTATTGTTTGGTCTTAAGAGTTAAGAGGTTATCTTTGACTTCCTGTAAACAAATAAAGGTTTTTATGGTCATCAAAGTAAGTTAAATTAACACACAACATCATTCAACTTTGGGCAAATTTCTTAAACTACCCCTACTGTTTAGCTAATTGGGAAATTGTACCCTTACTGTTTAACTATTATCCTGCACCACCCATACTGTTTCTGACTAATTGACTAATTCTACCCCTGCCGTTTATGTTCCAATCTGCGGCGGCAAGGGCTTCTCATTTGCATAGCGGGAAAGAGAGATCGACAGTGACAAGGGCTTCACCGACGCCTAGAATTTGTCATTCACCCCCAAACACATCTACATGCACATCTATGAGGGCCCACAACTACTGCCATGCTGGAAATCCCACCTCCGCCTTGTTGGATAGTTGTTTGCAACTTACGGAAGCCTTCTCTCTCTCTCTCTCTCTCTCTCTCTCTCTCTCTCCCTCCCTAGCAGACCGCCGTTGTTTGCAACTCGCGTTTCATCATCAGATCTCTTCACCTACTTCCATTTATAATTCAAGATGAGTGAGATTTTGCACATCCAGGGAGCCTAGTGCGGCAACCAAATCGGTGCTTATTGACCACATGGATATGTGGTTCCATTCTGATTCCATCTGCCCCCTTTGTCAAGCCCCTGTCAAACATGAAAGTGAAAGTCCGGCCCAGAAGATTGAAGCTGTCGTCGAGGAGATTCAGGATTATTTGATGTTTTAGGCAGGGATTCTCGGGCAGCATTGGCTGGTTCAGACTTGGAAGCCAAGGAACAGTGGTCGTTGAGGACTTGGAAGGCACCGTTGCAGAAGGAGGCACCATCAGGTTCGGATTCGGAAGCCGAGGAACGGTGGCCATTGCGGAATGGTGGTTGTGTGGACTCGGAAGGCACCGTCAGGTTCTGACTCAGAAGCTGCAAGTGGTGACGGTGGAGGGCAGGGGTTGAAATGGCCAGGAAGTCGAATTCTATCGTTGAAGGTGATATTGAGCAGAGAGAGCATAGCTGCACTTTCATGACCACCATTCCCGTCACCTCTGTTTTCCATGACTGCCGTTGCAACTCACAGCAGCGACAGTCTTCTCTTTCCCTCAATCTCTCTCTCTCTCTCTCACAGCAGCGGTGGCTTCAGATCTGTTTTTTGGAAATGGCTTCAGATCTCCCTTCTTTGAGCCGATAATGTAGACGATCGGTGGCTTTAAATCTCCAGCAGTTTTTCTCTTAGCTTATGGGAAAAATGGACATTTTGTCCTTTCTGTTATGATTTAACGATAATGGCAACAGAAACAGTGGGGGTAGTTTAAGACAATAGTTAAACAGTAAGGGTAGAATTAGTCAATTAGCTAAAGAGTAAGGATAGTTTAAGAAATTTTCCCTTCAACTTTATCAAGTTTGTTAGGTTTCTTCAATATGTCAGGTTTGCAACACCTTATTCCTTTGAGATGTTTATTTGTTTGGTTAGCATCTAACTCATCATAATTAATTGTGGACTGTATTGCCTCAATATGGTGATGTCATGCATGAAATGTATAGAAAAACTGGACAAGGGAGTTACATGCAGCTTTTCAGTGTATGCAGAGATCTGCAAATGCCATTGCTGATTCTCTTGGCTAAACAAGGGGTAGATAGGGAACATATGGGTTTGGGCACAGTTATAACTTGATGAATCTTGGGATAGGCAGTAGGCTTGGCCTATATGTTGAGGCCTCGAAACATGTAAATTCATTATCATTTTTTGAAACGACAAAATAAATTCTTGTTAACTTAAAAAAAATCCTTTGTTTTCTAACATTTGTTTGGTATAATATTGGTGATGATAATCAAACAGTAAGCTGATCTTGGGTTGGTCAATACATCATCATGCATCTTTTTGCCTAGACTGTGCAGTCTTTTTGGTTCCAATGCTATCATTACTATTACTATTACTAATCTAATTTTATCTATATCTTAGTGGCTGCTTGATAAGGTCAGAAGTTGCTGAATTAATTGACTTATTGCTTTGTCCTTCAGTGGACACAAAAGTTAAATAATAAAATATAAGGGTATGGTAATCTACCCAACTTCAGTTTCATCCGTCAAGGTGCCCACAACCTTCTTAAAAACTTATTCAGACAAAACAATAAGCTTTTCATTTCAGCCACTCCAACTTTTATAAAAAGCCCCTTAATGTAGGGTTTTCTTCTTTGGGCACCTCTTGTGACATCAGTTTTTATAGAATTCTTTTTGATAGGAAAAGAAAAATTTAGGGAAAAGAAACGAAAAGGAAAAGTAAGGTGAAGAGCTTTCACTCACAAGTCACAACTACAACCACTTCTGAACACCAGCAAAATAAAACAAGATAACGAAAAAAAAAAAACAACTTGAAGATTACTCAGCCACAAACTCCAAAGGTCCACACTGAACACAGTTTTTCTCCCAAATCATTTCTTTTCAAAAATGAGCAAGAGTCCAGTCCATCACAGAGCACCCAATATCTGCCACTAGCTTGATCTTTGATCTAGTCTTGTCTTCGAAGGTTCTCTTGTTATGCTCTCTCCTTATACCCCAGCTGACCACAAAAGGAATTATGTTAAAGAAAAATTAGCGTTCTTGGTTCCAAATAATCTTGGCATTTTGTGAAGGTTACCTTTGGCTGCTGATGACAGATCCAAGGTGTCTTGAATAATGATTTGATGATGGTGAAATGCTCTCTTTCTCATTCTGAATTTGTTGTCAATGTTGGGTTGGTCATTTGGAATCATTGTTTTTTTTTTTTTTAATTTTTAATTTTTAATGTTATCTTTGTATTTTTACATCTGTGTTGGTTGTTGTTGTTGAAATCTCTTTGGCATTAAGTTTTAGCCTTCGTTCCTTTCTTTTGATAGATATTTTCTTTTACTATCAAAAAATACATCTCTAACATTTCTATAAAAACTGTTGAAGAGTATGCCTGCCATTTCTTTATCCATTACCAGGGTGCAATGTTCGTTTGGTCTTTCTATCCTTTTCTTTCCTAACCGAGATGTTTATAGAGGATTACGTCTCTTCTTAATATGCTAAGCTTAGAGTCTTTTTTTAATGTCTTGGCTCTGTTGCTCATGAAAGGCGCAGTTGGGATGCTAAACCTTGTGTCATTATTGCATGGCACTTTGGTTCTGCATTGGGAGGCAGTGTGCTAATTTTTTTTTTTTGTTATTCTCAAATATTTTTTAGCAAACATAGCACTGATCCCTTCTCTTGTTATTTGTTAACAAAAGAAAAAAATCCTTCTTCTCTTGTTGTGAGAATTATATATGTATATATATATATTTTCCTTCCCTTTGATATTTTGTATGCCTTGTCTCTCAGGAACGTGAGGAAAGGCGCCAACGATTGAAAAGAGAGTATCAAGATGAGGGCCCAAGGCGTGTTTCACAGACACCTAAGAAAGATTCAATGATCCAAAACAAAAAACCTAGACCTTATGATAGAAACAGGCCTCCATCTGGTAGGTGTTAGTTTTATTTCTATGCTTGGTTTCATAATAAAGATATTTTACAGAAATACTTTTGTGTTATAATGTTTCCGGCTTGGTTGATATCTATAGTCATGGCAATGCCATACTCATTTTGTTAATAAGTTTTTGTTCTTCAAAGCTGGTAGGTCTTGCTATTTTGGAGAGGTTGTAAAGCATCCATAAAAAATATTTGATTGTGTTTTTGTCTGTAAAATTTGAGGAGTTTCATGTTTTATCTTGGTAGAATGTTGAGCTAACGGTACATTTATTGGATATGAAAGGGACTGGAAATAAGTAATTGGTCAATGCAAAGATAATTTTGGACTTTAAAGTCTGGTGCATGAGACAGACTTATACTGATCAGAGGAGTAATTTCAATGGAACATACAAGGCGTCAGAAACTTGTAACATTGATTTGTTATCTTGACTCACAAAAACTAGAGAAGGATTTATCTTGCAGCTCTTTTGGAAGCATGATTTCCTTGATTACTGTGCATTTCTAATGTGAAATGCAGATACAAGCATCAAATAAAGCAGGTGGTGAATGGACATTTCAAGAAGATAATGCACTTGTTGGGAAAATATGAGTTAATAAATAAAGAACAGAAAAAGGGCCATTACTTGGTCTAATGGTAAAATCTCAGGCTGACAAATGTGAGATGCGGGTTTGAGTCTAAGAGTAGCCACTTTATGCCAAAAATGCCAGAAGTTAGGTCTGTATTCAGTCCACCCTCCAAAAACCCCGAATATCTGGGATCAACATTGGGTGATGACCTTTTTTTATGTAAAAATAGAAAATATTTTAAAAAATGTGGAAGTCAGGCTACCTGTTTGGTCATAGTTTTTTTGGTAGGTAACTTATATTTTGTTGTAAAAAAGTGAGAGGCAGAAGGCAACTTCAAGAAAGGGACTAGGCCCAACCTTGGAGACCATAAAATGATAAAATTAATTTATGATAGAAGGCCAAATATGCACCACTCTATCAATTTCCGCAATTACTTCTTGAAGCTTGCACATTTATCTTTGAATATTCTGCTATTTCTGTCCTTCCAAATGCACAAACAGATGGTGAAAGGAAAACATATTCCACAATATCCTTCCCCTTTTACTGAAACCACCAGATGGCTAAGAGTCTACTAGGCAAACCAGGTCACCAGGAGTAACCAAGTTATGCCCAAAAAGCTTGAAAGATCCCCCACACCAAAGAAGAAAACCAACAATGGATAAATAATTGATTGTGTGGTCATTCTTTTTTTTTTTTTTTGATAAATATTCCCGATTGAATATTAGTTGCCTCAAGTAGGGCCATTATGCAATGTTTGTCCTTGCTATTTGGTCTCTTGGGAGGGATGAACTGGATACAGACCTAACCTTTGGCATTTTTTGGACTATGTGGCTGCTCTTAGACTCAAAGCCATGTTCTCATACTTAATCAACCTGAGTTTTCAATTTCACAAAACAATGGCCTCTAATATTGTTTTTGATAAAGGTAATTTTGTTAAAGAGAAAAGGAGGATACATAATCAAGACTATCAAGTGACAAGAAGTCACCTAAAAAAAACTGCATCAGAACATAGACAATACCATCCCATCAGATAACACCTTCTAACTTAAATAAACACCTTCTCCAAAGAGGAGGGTAAGCCCCGGCTAGGCAATCTTCTGAAAGGCAAGAATAAAAAAGCACTTGTATTTTACCAGCACTACAGTTGAATCTAACATAATATTATCTCTCTCAGTGAGCTACATTACCCTTCCATAACCTCCCTAGATCCCTCTAAACATCATTTCTCTGCTATTACAACAATGACTCTACACGTTTGAAACTTACCCCCACTCACTTTGTTGAAATTTACAACTGTGCATACGAAGTGATGGAGGGGTATAGTATGGTGCAAAAAAGAGGATTCTGCTTGCTCCACTTCATTCATGGCCCCCACTGTAAAAGCTGGATATATGAAGAAGTTTCTATGTGATGCAGCTTTAGTTATCCACCCACCCCCTTTTTCTGTCAAGATTTGCAAGTCTCCTCTTTTGGAAATTCATAGGAAAATAAAATCAGATCAGCCTTTAGCTATGAATGGGAAATAATCTTAATCCCTATTTGGTTAGGTTGTGGCTGGACTTTTGAAAGCCATAAAGCTCAAGAAAGATCTTTTATAGTTTTGGTAAGATATTCTTTGAAGACCATAAATCTCAAGAAATATCTTTTATTGTCTGGTAAGATGTTTGTCCAATAGAAATTGCAGCTCAAAAAGACCAAAAATAGGAAGCTTAAGTGCCTGTTTGGGAGGGCTTTTGGCTTTGTAAGGTGGAGCTCACCCAGAAAGCCTATAAGCAATGTTTGGTAAAAAATCCAGAGAGCCAAATTTAGGGCTCGTTTGGCGTGCCTTTTGGCTGTTTACAAGCCGGGAAGACCAATTTTCGGTCTATTCCCGTTTGGCTCGCGGAAGATCTAGCCGCCAAAAGACGGTGCGCCGAAAAGATGCGAGAAGCCCATTTCGGGCTGATTTTGGGAAGCTTCAAATGAAGCCTCCTGCGTCTTTCGCGTTTAATCTTGCGTGGAAAGACGCGGGAAGATGCACGGAAAGACGCGTGTCTGCCAAACTGTCTTCGGGCTGCCCAGATCTTATGTCAAAAGCTCAATGTGTCTTTTGACTGTTAGAGCTACAAGAAGATCTTCTCAAAAAGATGCGCCAAACGGGCCCTTAGTCATTCTGTAGCCATTTACATGGCTCTCTGTATAAGTCTCTTCCAGTAGTTTCTTCAAAGCAGCTACATGTGAAGCTAAGCCCTCCAAAATGGGCCCTTGTTGCTTTTTTTCCAATTTCCTGCTTTACTTTCCAAGGCAACTAGAAGATGCCCTTTGATCATTTTCTGTTGTTGTGAGACCAAAGATGAGGTTTTGGAGAGCGAAGTTATCAAACAGGCTTTCCAAGCTTTTTCTTTATTTTTGGAAGTCTAAAAGATCTTTTGAGTTTTTAGGCTTTGAAAGATCTTTTTAGAAAGCCCAATCAAATGGCACCTTTGTTGCCAAGTTTGTTAATAAGTAGTCTTCTAGGTTATTTTCTATTTTGAATTTAATCAGGACTATAGATCTTTTCGTTGTTTTGAAAGGTAAAGTAATTTGTATTAAGTATAGAGTGTGACCTCAAAAAACAAAAACACCTCCATTAGGGGCATAATGTTTACATGCTTACATGTATCAGACAGTATCGTTTCCAATAAAAAAAATTGCATACATCTATCTGTCCCCAACTTCTCTGCTTGTACAGATTTGTATATAGCTTCAAAAAACCATGGTAAAGTCATTAACCCAGGTGATTTGATTCCAGTCATCACTGAAATCTTGCTTAAAACCTGATAATTCTTTGTGAAGGCAAACCCATCTATTTATATCCCTTTCCACTTGCCCCGTTAGAGCCTCTATATTGGATTCTTTCTGTTTGAAGATGTGCCTATCTATTTCCAACATTATGTTCAAGCATATGGATAAAGGTACAAGAGCCCATAGAAGCTTGACCCATATGCTAAAGCATTTTTGAGGGTCAAGTGGTCATCAACTAGTGAAGGTGCCTTGGAGGTACCCAAGGCTTCCAAAGAGCTGTATACTATGGGCCCAAAGCCTGTAAGTGAAAGAACAGTGAACCAGCAAATATCCCACATATTATTCTGAGCTAGCAAATATCCCACTTGGAACCCTCCACCTCTTGGTTTTATCAAACTAAATTTTGATGGCAGCAGCATGGGGAATCCAGGGCCTTTGGGTATTGGGGGGGGTGCTAAGAGATGAGAAAGGGAATATAATAGCTATGTTCTCTGGTCCAATTGGAGTGGGAGACTCTTTGAGGGCTGAGGTGTTAGCAGCTTTGGAAGGGGTACAAAGGGCTAAAGACCTGGATGTCAAGAAACTGATTATAGGAGATTCTGAGATTGTAGTGAACTGGCTAAAAGAAGACACCTCTAAGCTTTGGAGCTACAGCAATGAAAAGAGAAAATTCAAATGGCTGATCAAGAACATGGAAGTTCAGTGTACTTGGGTAAAGAGAAATACAAACTCCTTTGCTGATGGATTAGCTGGGCAAGGGGTGAATAGGGAGTCTGGTTCCTGGGCTCAGTTGTAATTGTTCTTTTCCTTTTGTGTGCCTGCTCACTTTCTTGGGGAGTTAAGATACTTTAGCTCCTCTACTTTGTAAGCTTATTCCTATTTATTGAAATCTGTTGTTATTGATCAAAAAAAAAAAAAAACTCCGAATCTCACATCCAGAGATTATGAATTGTCAGAATCTTGTTCCTTATGTCTGTCCAAAGGAAGAAGATCACTTGAGATGGGACCCCTGTTCTCCAAAAAGCACTTCTATGGGACATCTTGATTGTCTTCTTCCACCAACTTATGGATCATATAGAAAAGTTGCAATCTTTACTAACTTTCCACCACCTGCTGTCCCTCTGTTAGGTTGGGGGTGCTGCTGTTCCTATTTGGAGTATTAGATCTTAGCATGTTGTTAAAAGCTTATGATTTACGATACAGTTCACTATTTGAATCGTGAATCGCGAAGGGTTTTGATTTGTATCTTAGGACCAAATCCTTTTTTGGAAAAATCTTATGATTTTTGTTTGAATCCTACGATTTCTACAATTCTTGCAATTCAAATCAAGTCAACTAAGAATTATTTCTTTACTTGACGTTATTTAAGACCATATATTGAGTTTATTTTCCATCATATGTAGGATAAAGTCATTGTATGCGGATTATTTGACTTTCAAGTTAAACTTGTATATATCATCTTAGACTTCTATTGTATAAGTGGTAAATTCTATTGGTTTAAGTACACAAGTGGTAGATATGGATTAAAAATAGGGTAAAATCATGTTTCTATATATATTTTTCCTTTTATCATATCTACATTAAAATTTTTGACAAGTTTTAAAAAAAATAGAAATAATCTTAAGATTTACGATACAATTCACGACTTGATTTGATTCAATTT